GATGTCAACACACACTATAGGTGGGAAGAGATGACAAGCTTGCATGACTATGCACTATTCTTGGGCCCAACGTGCTCCACGGCTGTGGAGGTGTGTGCAGAAGGGCGTGGTGGTGTGGAGAGAAACCACATCTATTACTCCAATGAAAGATATGGCCATCTTCCTTCTCATCAGAGGTATCTTACAAAAATGGCCGATGGTCGTATTGTGTACTACGACGACGATGAAATAGTTTGTTACGACGGGAAGGTGATTATGTCGCAAGGATTTTATGGTGAGCGTGGCGTTCAACCTGCCATGTGGCTTGTCCCACCACACGTGTAGCAAACTAGAACGATTTCAAAATCAAAGTTTGTGATGACAGGAAGGTGATTGTGTCACGTCGATTTTATTCTGTATAAGCGTGGCGTTCAAGCAGACATGTGGCTTGTCCGACCCTTCATGTAAATTAATAGATATTTCTAGCACCATGCTTAATTTGGTCATTATAAATGGCAAGGCACTAGCTTGCTACAGCGATGAAAATTGTCTCATGACTGTGCATTGTGTGATGCAGAGCCCCAGGTATGTCCTTCTTTTCGAAGGGAAAAATGTCACGTCGCTTACCATTATTTTGCCAACCCTAAACAAGCCTTGGAGACACTACTAGGAAAAGGGCTATAGATAATATGGACACGGGAGAATGGTGAGAGAGATGGTCCGCTCTCCTTCCCCTCCCTTCCCCTCCCCCTCGGGCGAAGCAACGTCGACGCCATTAAAGCGCCCCAACCCCCAGCGTCCCACCCACCTTCACATCTCGTCGAGCTCTCCCCGCCCTGGATCCCCACCTCAGATCCCGCATGGCTGGAGCGCGTTGCCGCGGCGTGCGGGTTCGCCGGCTAGCACCGGTGGCGAGGGTAGCGGAACCGCGGGCGCTTCCACCGCCTGTGGCGGCGTCGCTGCCCGAGATCGACCCGCACTCGCCGGAGGCTCGCCGCGAGATGCGTCGGGTGGTGATGGAGCGCTTCCCCGACCGAGACGAGTGGGGGGAGATCCACCTCCACATCCTCCGCCATGCGAACTTCGTCGAGCGCGCGCGCTTCATCGGAGACGACGGCTGCGAGGATCCGGAGCTCCTCTTCTGGGCGGTCCAGGAGGCGGAGTCATCGGATCCGCATCAGGCTGCGCGGTGGGAGAACTTCAGGACGGCGAACCCATCTAGGCTCAACATCAGGCCGCCATCGTGGGAGGGCATCGCTAACATCCCGCCAGAATTCCTTCCGCCGGGCATCGTCTGGCCGCAGCTCCGCCAGTAGATCGTCTGCCCTGACCGATTCAAGCTCAGCGACGACCCATCGAGCCCCCACCTTGGCCAGGTGAGATAGGTATGCATCTTATTCGTGTAGATTCATCGTTGAAAACTCGATTGAGGGATTTCCGTTCGCGTCAGAGGAGGGGCATGTTCCAATGTGGTTCTGTTGATAAGTCATTAGATAAGGAATCGATAGTAAATTTTGGGGTTCTCCCTCGTCGATCTGTAAATCCTAAGGAATGAGTCGCTGTTTGTGCAGCTGGTGAGGCTTCGCCGGAGTTGGGCTCCGACGAGGTGCTCAATCGTGAAAATGACATGGGTGTTGTGCCTGGGGCGGCGACTCTCTGTCGTTCCCCCCTTTCAAATCCAGCGGTGTCAGGGCCCACCTTCAAAGTGTGTCTCCACGGTGAGAAAGCAGGGACTGAAGGTAGATTACGTAAAGTGGAAAACCTAGAAAGTGTGGAGGAGTACTTTGGCCAGCTATGGCTCATACCTTCCCCTCCCCGTGCCGCCGCAACCATAAAACCCACTCCTCCCAGCCTCGATCAGAAGCCAAATCCGAATTCATCTGTTGGATCCGGAAAGACCTAATTGATAACAACTCGTTTACAGCCGCCGACTGCTTTCCTGCTTCGATTCGGCCTTTTGATCCACCACCAAAGAATATCAAGGTTGCGAGAGAGGGGATTGGCCCAGGTTCTCTTTCATTTGCGGAGGTAGTGAAGCGTGGTGCAAAGATGGCTGATCGCCGGGATGGGAGTAGCGGCAACCTTGGCGCTGGTCAAACCAAGGTGACTATGGCGGTCAAGACCGGGGAGTATTTCTTCAGGCTATTTCAGCTAGTCCGCCTAGTCGTCGATGTCAACACACACTATAGGTGGGAAGAGATGACAAGCTTGCATGACTATGCATTGTTCTTGGGCCCAACGTTCTCCACGGCTGTGGAGGTGTGTGCAGAAGGGCGTGGTGGTGTGGAGAGAAACCACATCTATTACTCCAATGAAAAATATGGCCATCTTCCTTCTCATAAGAGGTATCTCACAAGAATGGCCGATGGTCGTGCCGTGTACTACGACGATGATGAAATAGTCTGCTACGACGGGAACATGATTATGTCACAAGGATTTTATGGTGAGCGTGGCGTTCAACCTGCCATGTGGCTTGTCCCACCACACATGTAGGTGTAGCAGACTAGCAGGATTTCAAAATCAAAGTTTGTGACGACGGGATGGCGATTGTGTCATGTGGATTTTATTCTGAGCGTGGCGTTTAAGGTTACATAGATATGTCTAGCACCATCCATAAGTCATTATTAATGGCAAGACACATGCTTGTAATGCAATGAAATCCTCTCATGACTCTGTGCATTGTGTGATGCAGACCCCGAAGGTAAGTCCTCCTTTTAGAAAGCAAAAATGTCACGTGCTTACCCTTTTTTTGCCGGCACTCAACGAGCCTCGGAGAGGCCCCACCTCAATTTGGCGATTTTGAAGACATGCGAGCATCGCTCGGTATTGCACAAGAAATTTGGCGAATGCACTTTATATGTAAATTGTAAAATTAAGGAAAACATACAAAAATCCCCGGGCTGATCACTTCGCTTCGTGGGCCGCCTCCACTGCGCTACAAATGTCCCTGTGAGGGTCCACCCCACCGCTATCCTTATCTCCAAGAACCCGCCCCATCTATTTTTTTTCTCCCTAAGTTTGTCTTGTTCCTTGAACCGAGTTTTCTCACCAGACCATCTCATTGCCGTCGTACGCCACGGCAGTCGCAACCCTCTCTGGGCACGCTTTTGTAGTCTCTGCCCCACCACCAGTCCCATTACTGCAAGCGGCGGGACCACACAAAGGTGACCACTGCTGCCGTGAAAGGCGCGTGGTGCCATAGGAGAACCTATTGCCACCACTTCGCAGGACTCTGCAGCCACCCTGCTGCCAATTTCATCGTACCGTGATCCAACTCACATCATGGCTGCCATGGTCGTTTGCTGCAGGCCGGAGGCGAACCAACACCAAGTCACCGAGGTTACAGTTGTGTCGATGCTGCAACCCACCCCGTATACAAGGCCCAGTAAAATGTATGCTATGAAAAAAATAACTAGCCCAATTGCACAGCCCCGATACGACTCGCGGGCCGACGATCCTACAATATACGGAGTATAAGTTGCTTACCACAACCAGTCTCAAAGGATCCCTTAAGAAAACCAGTCTACTCAAAAATAAAGTGCCTACCACAACCTCACCCGGCGCCTCGTCCCTCACGATAGTCAGTAGATGCTATAAGCAGCGGCGCTGCAGGTTATAGGACAGGGGTATAGCCAGGGGCAGCACAGATGGCCATGGGCCATGCGCCCCACGCCGATCGACGAGTCATCAACAAACCGTAGCGTCGGTGTGGCGGTGCAAACCGGCGGTGAGGCGGGTAGGGAGCCATTTCATGAGGGCGTCAGGGCGAGGCGCAGGATAACGCCATTCAAGGACCTCAAAGTTAGGATCCTCGGCGGTCTGGAATTGAACATTGGTTCGTGCGGCGGGCGTTCGAGCGCCGGAAACCTCCCTGTGTCCACCGTGTTGTCCCTTCTTCAGTCTGTGCCAGAGAGAGAGCGATGAGCGGGTGAGCTGGGGGTGAGCTAGGGCTCAGGAAATTCCCAAGAGAGGTTGGATATAGGATCATTCACATGCTTAATAATTATTCACAAGCTCAGTACTGACATGCTGTCAAATAAGACAATAAATGGTAGGCACTTCCAGGTTCTTGGACAGCAAAAAAGCCTGACGATAAATGGTAGTGAATTGCTGAAGCAAACCATTCTGTCATTTACAAGTTCCATAGTGAATTGCTCTCCATTATACAACCACAAACCAAGGATCAGAGTAGTCTCTTGAACACCAGTTTTTCAAACAAGGTTTACCTCAACCAAACCGTACTAACATTTCTAAATTTTTGGCTAGACAAATGGTACTAGTATTAATATCATGAACTAAAAAAATTAATATATTTCCTGTAACTTCATCTATGAGATCAGTTTTTTTTTTTGAAATAATCTATGAGATCAGTTATATTTGTGTCGTGCAGACAATTTTTCGCTGCTATAACTGAAAACATATCAAACCTTATGTTTTACAACCAATTTGGTGGCTTAGGTTCACACTTCTTCTGCTAACCATCTAAGCAGAGAGGGTTATGATACTGTTAATCACTACTATAATGTCTTTCTATCGACTCATCATCAGAGCCGAATGTGCAAATCTATAAGTGCTTAGCTGCTGTTTGAGTAGATCCATCTGTAGTGGGTGTTCATCCTGCTGCTGCTGTCCATAACATTTTGGAGTCTGAGGAAACACACGCACCTGGAATAGACATAATTGTGGTGTTTGATTCTCCTGACCATTTGGATAACTCAACGTATAGTGTAGCTCCAGGAAGAACACACATAAAGAACAATCGATCGGAACAAAGTGATCTCATTACATTCTTTTGATTCATCGATGATAGCTAAGCACCTGGTTACAACCAAGTTTACAACATTACGGAGAGTGTTAACACTTAACACTATGTTTATATAGAGAAAAAACAAGATGAAGTAAAGGAGCTGCCATGGAAGCAAATAGACCAAACAGACAAGGGATATGGATGCGGCAAAGGAGAATCTCCAGAAACATGCTGTTGAAAACTAATGCAGTGATGAGCTCGGGCTTAAGCAGAATTACCGAGGATTCCTTGAAGATAACATGAACTCTTCTTCCATACTATACTGCCTGGATAATTCTTCGCTCCTACTTCTATCAACAGTCGGTGGACAGTTTCTTACATTACCCCCCTCATGTCCCCTGGATGCTTGAGTGCCTTCGAGTTTGATCTCCACTTGCTTCATTGACGGACGATCCTCTCCTCTTAATGTTATACACATTACTGCAAGTGCTGCGACTTCTTCCATTTCTCTGTTTCCCTCTTCCATAACTTGGGGATCTATTATCTCGGACAAATTGCCTTGTGTGAATAAGGTAGAAAAGTGTGTAACAAGGCCTTCCTCTTCAGAAGAGATGTATGAAAATGGTTTCTTTCTAGTCAACAACTCCAGAAGCAGGACACCGAAGCTGTACACATCACTTTTTTCCGTGAGACGCCCTGTATAGAAATACATGGGGTCTAGATATCCTCTTGTACCTTGCACTCTTGTTGTGAGTCCTGATCTATCCACCGGAACATATCTTGAAGCTCCAAAGTCGGCGACTTTTGCTGTTAGAGTATCATCCAAAAGTATGTTAATAGACTTGATATCTCTATGGATGATGGGTATTGAAGCTGTTGAGTGAAGATGAGCTAAAGATCTGGCAGTCTCAGTTGCTATCCGTAGCCTATCATTCCATGACAATGATCTTGGTCCATCAACATGAAGATGATCATAAAGGGTACCATTGGATATAAACTCGTAGACCAACATGGGGACCTCGGTTTCAAGGCAACAACCATAGAGTTTTACAACATTTCTATGGTTGATCTGTGATAGGATAGCAACCTCATTAATGAATTCATCAATCTCCTTTTGAATTGCCGCCTTTGGTTTCTTGATGGCTACAACATGGAGATCTGATAGGATCCCTTTGTAGACTGTACCATGCCCCCCGCCACCAAGCTCACGAGCTTTATCAAATTTGTTTGTTGCCTTCTCAAGCTCATCTAAGGCTATAATCATTCTTTCTGCAATATTAGCTCTTTGTGATACCAATTGGTGCAACAATTGTCCACGGTTTTTTTCAAAGAACTTCTGTTTCAACATCTGTGCTTTTCGATGTTTGAATTTCTTACGTGTGAAGGACCCAGCGAGAACAAATAGTATGATGCCTGCCCCAACAGCAACTCCTATGCTGAGGTATATACCTACAAAGATGTACATAGTTTTATTCATTTTGTCTATCATGAGATCATAGTAGTATACACTTGGTCTACAGTTACTCAGCAGCAGGAGTAATCGCAAAAGTTCACTCGAGTAACTTTTTGGCTTTGTGAGTTCAGATGACAAAAAAACTGGTTTCAGAATGTTCAGGGTTTGAGATAAATAATTTTATTGTCGGATTTCGAGTTCGACCAAGAAACATACATCAAGTTCTCTTCTTATTAATTACGAGTAACAAGAAAACATTTTCATGGGAAGAAGCTAACTAAGTCGATTAGTATCTACACTAGAATGGCCATATGTATTGCTTGAAACAAATACCAAGTGTAATACAATACTTGTCCTGATGTCAAATTAAACAGGAGGAAAGTTGCAGCATTGCTCACCTGTAGATAAAGGCTTGCGGCCACCTGTAGGCCAAAGTGAAATACACTAGGTTAAAAACTATAGAAGAACAAGGAAATTAATAGCGTAAACACATATATTAGAATCGTATATACATGTTCTAACCTTTGCATCCGTTGGCAAGGTAGGGGTTGTTGCCGGGCTTGTGATAGCCATCCAAGCACTGGCATAAATAGCCTCTGCTCCCTCGTTTGCAGTAGCTGTTCTTGCTCTTGCACAGTTTGCGGGCTACCTCGGCTGGACAGTCTGGATGCGCCTTCATGTCGGCTGGTCGCGGTAAGTCTTGCATGACCTCCCACTGCAGAACTTGGGGAACCTGCACCTTGGCTATTTTGGATTCCTCATGCCCCGCCATCTCCTTGGACAACTGTCGCTGGTCGAACCACCCCTCCTCTGCAATTAGCATGTACGCGGGCTGGGACGTCAACTCCAGGTTGCCGTCCTTGTTGAGATTTTGAAACCTCAACTTTGTGGGCAAGCCGTTGGAGGACATGGAGATATGTGCCTGGCAGCAGCCCATGCCGTAGCAGTATCTGCCTGTACGCTGCAGAGTCGTCTCAACGTAGGTGTCACTGACGTTGGAGGGGCAGAAAGAGGCACAACCGCTGATCAAATCCTTGGTACCATCACCGATCAGCAGCGTCGCCTGAAGGTTGCAGCCCGATAGGATGAACTCGTTGCCGGTCGATAGTGAGTAGGGCGCCTCTGAGTAGTTGCCAAGGTTTAAAACACCGAATGAGAAGTTCGTGTGGATAATATCCATGATGGCTTTGCTGGAGAGGACATGCACTGTGTTGTTCTCGAGGGAGATCTCCTTGACGTGGTAGGAGTCAGCCACGCCATCGACGAGGTCGTGGAGGACGAGTAGTAGCTTTGCTGGTTGTTGGCTTGTATCACAGGTGAGGTTGAACCCTGGCCAGTAGGAACCGGCAGAGCCAATGCCGAAGGGGTATGGCACATCTATGCCACCGCAGGACGTGCTGCCATTACCTGTTTGATAAAGTAGCAATGTCATTATTCATAGACTTCAATTTCTGTCGGATTTGGGCTGCCTGTTCTTTCTCCCCCTAGGACAGCATGGCGTGCTGGTGCGGGGAGGTGTAATTAGGCTCTAAAGTGAACGTCATACAGTTTGATTGTTTTTTCTTGCTCATTGTATGTCTTTTTTTTTCTCACTCATTCTAGTTCCTTCTACCAATGAAAAGATTCGCGAAAAAGAGTGGTAGATCTCATGTTCTCGCATTACTGCTGCAGTTGCCAAATGGAGCTTTGCTCGAGATCCAGTGGAGTTTGTTTATAATTTTAGAATGTTTTCTCAACTTAACTATCCTAATTTTACTTGTATATGGTGCAAAATTTGTATGTGGTTTATCGGATGAATATTTTGCTGCTAATGTTTTTTTGGCAGATGTTTTACCTGTAAAATCGTTTTCACAGATTTGCTGACAAAGATTTTATGGTCGCTTGGTTTGTCACTAGTGGAGAGCTGTTAAAATGATTTGCGCTCATTTTTAAGTTGGGGCAGGAACATCACAATATCCATCTTCGCCCTCTGATGCGAACATTTACTTTTGATGTTCCGGAGGGAAGTCTAAACTGATAGTTCTATAACAAAATGACGCTGTCCATGAGTAATTAACAAAATTGGAGTGAACAATGTGAATCCCTTCATAATTTGTGTTCTTAATTTTAGTCCACCTGTGATTTCTTCCTCTTGCTAACTAATCCGTAAAGTCTCACTATTAATGTGACCTTTTGTTTGTTTATGTGCAATATACTAGGTTAGTGTCATTTTTAGTCCTGTATTTGTTCTCTAAGATGATGGCACTAGATAACTAACTATCAACTCAGTAGTTGGCTAGTTTCTGATCCTTTAACTGCACACTTAGTTGAGTTTATCCGGTGTTAAAAATTTTTTGTACTTTGTTAAGGGATTGTTATGATCTGTTCTTTCTTGTTCATTCCTCATTTGCATCCATCTTGATAGTAAAAATAGATGCGGTTGCCACACCTCAATATTGCTTACCTGAGACGGAACTGAGGCAGCCACCAGGCAGGGTAGGGTCGCCATTGGTTCCTGGAGGACACCGGCAATAATATGATCCTTCCAAATTGGTACAAGCACCACCATAGCACCTAGCGTACCCTTCATGACACTCGTCGATATCTACACATATATAGCCGAATCAATACATGCATGCTAGTATTAAGCAAAGAGAAACCCCGAAAATTTGTTACTCGCCAGACCTTTGCATCCGTTGGTGATGTAGGGATTCCCTTCGTAGCCGTCTTTGCAGGAGCACGTGTAGCCTTTGTTACCCTTTGTGCAGTCGCTATGCTTGCTCTTGCAGATGTTGGAGCATTCTGCGCCATAGCCAACAACCTCCCAGTCCAGCCAGAAGGGAACTTGCATTGCATCCACTGACGCGGGGGCGGCTTTTCGTAACAGCTCGTGGAAGACCGCTGTACGGCTGAACCAGCCGGACCCCGCGATAAAGACGTGTGCGGGCCACTGCTGGTCTGCGCTGTGGTTCCAGCCGAACCATTTGAGTTGCACGTTGTAGAACGCACTATCGACAAGTCTTCCTGCTACCTCCGCAGGGTCGAAGACAATGTCCGACTGACAGCAGCCATTGCCAGAGCATTGCATGCCTGCTTCAAGAGTGGATAGCGCTTGGGAGAGTCCATCGCCGCTTTTGCAGCCAGAAGAACAGCTGGCCATGGTCACCTCGCCGTTCTTGAGCGTCGCCTGGACATTGCAACCCACTAGGATGAGCTGGTTGGATGAAAGTGTGTAGGGCCCGTTGGTTGTAAGACCGCCGCCGAGCATGCCTTCACCGTTGCCATCGACTTTTATCTCGCCCGTACGTATGACGTTCACAAATGACCACCTGAGGGAGAACTCTTGGACTTGGAGGGTGCCATCGCCAAGCAGCAACCGCGGTGGTTTGCTTGAGCGGCTGCAGGTGAGGTTGAACCCCGGCCAGTAGCACCTGGCCGGGCCCATGCCGAACGGGTACGGCACGCTCATGTTGCCGCAGGTGATGTCACAGTTGGGCACCCCTTGCGCCTCCGCCGGGGAAATTTCTGCTCCGGCGAGGAGCGCCGATGTCAGCATCGCCACCGCTGCGGCCGCCATCACCACCCCCAAGACGGTTGTTATGTGCGCCATTGAGTGGTTGAGCTTGTCTGCCTGGCTAGCTAGTTCCTGAACCATGCATCGCTCTCCACCTGGGTCGGCTTATAAAGATGGCGCGCACACTGGTTGCCCGGAGCAGCACCTGCTGCGTGGTAGGCCCAGCTATCAAGAGGTAAAAGTAATTATCGACAAGTGAGAACCAAGGGCATCTCCAAGGGGTGGGGTCAAATGTCCTCTCCATCTGTCAAAAACATGTACCATGGTACCCAAGGGGCAAGCCCAGCTGTCCACGTATTCTTTCGAACAGGCTGTGTACCCCGTGGAGTGTGAAACGTGACCGGGATGAGTTGCGGTGATGGTCGAGAGGGAGGCGTCCGTGCCGACCACATACGCACATTCGCATGATGCTCTCGTCCGCCGGACCGCCGCCCGCGCCTACCAGCGCAATAGAACCCGGTGGCAGCAAGCACGCGCAACAGCACATGTAGCATGCAGGCGGGCAAACCCGTGCATGTATTCTATCGAACAGGTTGTGTGCGCCATCGTGTGCGGCGAGACTTGAGGTTGAAGGTGACCAAGATGACCTGCAGAGCTTAGGACCAGGGAGAGAGAGAGAAAGAGAGACAGTTAGGGGCCGGAGACGCAGGGACCTGAGGCTGGGATCCGGCGAGCTGGCCGGCCGGCGGGTGGGGTTGCCGAGGAGAGAGAGGAGCAACGTGCGGGTTTGGAAATAGGGTTACTTCCATGTGGGGTCTGCGCGGGTTTCTCCAGACCGAATAGTCGAACGCTATGCGCTCTCCAGTCACAGATTTTTTTTCCCATATAAAGAGTCTAATCATGGTACGTGTTGTAAGTGCACCTCCAACCGGCCAACCCAAACTGTCCGCCGATGTAACGGACCAAAGCGCCGGCTCAATGCACGGACCCAAACCGGCGGTGTGTATGGCAAGGACATCTCCAAACACATGCCAAAAAATGCCCGCAAACGTCTTGGCAGATGCGCCCGAACCATTTTTTCCATCCAACGCGACGCCACATACTAGTTTGAGGGAGTCCGGACCTCCCACACCTAGAACTCCGACAACCCCGTCCCACATAGAAACTCACCTAGAGCTAGCGTCTTTCTCAATATATCCCTCCCGCCTTGCTCTGTACCTGCTCCCTCCCAGACCAACAATACCGTTGTACCCCCCCCCCTCCCCCGGCCTCCCGCCCCAGGCCCTGTCAGACCTCCGCCGCTCAACCCGAGTATCA